TTGAACATAATTTGCAGGACAACATTAGAGATAAATGCACCAACATAATTACTAATTATTTACCCAAGTACAAATTTATGCCTGACAAAACTACTGAACATTGGAATAAATTTGTTGTTAAAACACGTGCTTTTCTCCGTGCCATTGATCATCTAGATCTAATGATGATTAGCACTAAAACTGATAAAACCAACCGAACCATTATATGAGTAGTAAGGATTATGATCAAAAGATGGCCAACTTGTTAAGTGCTATCTCCACCTACCAGATTATTGGCAAAGGTCCCACTCAATCGCTAACCTGGCATAACAATCAGTTGATTTCTAGGCTCTTCAAAGAGCACAAAATTGTTTTATCTACTAAATACAGCTTAACTTGCCATAATGGTGTCAGCCCTAAGGTATATGATCTTGTGAAGGATCATAAACCAGTCAATTCCCTTTGACCAGATGTTAGCTTTGTTAACAGTCATACTTACGAGAGTGCCAAATTTCTTAGCAATATCCTCACATCACAAACACCCAATGCATATAATATCAAAGATTCTTTTCAATTTTATTCTTCCATTAAGCAGCAGAATATTCCTACTGGTTTCCACATAATATCATTAGATGCTATCAGACCACAATAGATTGCTTTAACAAATTCCATAAACTCCAGTTCACAATTGAAATGGAAAAAGACCATAAATACCCTTTTTATCCTTTATTTCCAAAATGAATGTGGCCTTAGCTCTAAAGCATAGAGCCTCACAGCTCAGTGACCCATGTTTCCACCGAAAAACTTTAAAATTGTCGAAAACATCCTTATTGCGAATGGGTTTCCCATTAAATTAATTACTAACTTGCTTTACAACTCTCCACGTTTCCAGAATACATACATTGACAAAGATAACAGGCCATACAAATCCATGATCAACTTCAACTGAGGCACTGCACAAAACATTAAAGAACGGTAATTGCAATATTGCCTTCTCTAATAAGCATACATTAGGCAACACCATTTTCAGTAGAACTAAAGACAAGGCTGACTAATTGAATAGCAACATAGTATACTCTGTTTCATGTGGAGGTTGTGATTTAAAATATATAGGTCAGACCGGACAATACTTGAAGAAAAGGTTATCCCAGCATCAATATGATATTAAAAAAAGACATTCCTACATGTGCCCTTGCACAACATACTAAACAAACCAAACATATTTTCAATTTGAATGACACCCACATTGTTGACAAAGAATCCAACCATAAGAAAAGGCTGTTCAAAGAAATGATGCACAACAATAGATACTCAACATGCAACAAGAAAACAGATGTGGAAAATCTCAGCGGACTACGTTAATATTATTAATAAACCTTAGAACCTTACCATTCCCGTAATAGTATATCCTTCTCTGTACATTGTTTGGTTTCCACACCCTATGGTCCTATAATTTTCATCTTCATCAATGTTGTTACGGTCATTGACAACTCTCCCTAATTATATCACTGATGACATGATTGAACTTGTTTTCTAATAAATTGTTGGTATCTATGATCGTCTGGTGGTGTCACCTATAAATTTTGCTTGTGTAGTGTTATTGACTAATTTATCCTATATTAGAATGTTTCAATTTACTTTACACGATATTCCAATCTTTGGTTATGATATGTTTCCTAAATTAATTCTCTATTCTTTTGACTCGTACTTAAATTGTAATAGTTACTATATCTTGATTACATACAATGTGATGTTGTAACACTAGTTGATAACCTAAAATTGTAACTTTGTTATTGTATTCTAATTGTTGGTAAGGGTATCTGCTCATGCTAGTGTATAAAATTGTAAATGTCAATATTTGTATTTCCAAGTTGGCAATGTCACTTATAATACTTAATGTTGATTAGTATAGTTATGAGCTCTTTCAAATTGTAATTCGTCATATCACAAAATGCACTGTCCTGGTTATGATACTACTGGTACACATATCTTTGAAGATACCCTAGTATCTCCATGATTCATGTATATCGTTTTCTGATTGTAATGTGTTATATGAACACAAAATTGTTTTCACCATTCTTTCTAAGTCTTAAAATTGTTAATTCCATATTCTTTTTAACATAAATTCTATTGGAAATTGGATGCTTTACTGGTTTGAACTCAACAACAACAAAAATTGTTGCATCCTTCTGCATACTACATAATATTGTTGATAAATTAACTGCCATGGTCTTCCTTGTACCCATCTTATAGCATGATTTTGTGAAGTAACTGGCAATACTTTCATTGCTTTCATTCAGCCATTATACATATATGTTAACTTTTAACCAACTATTGCATTGATTACCTTTTATTCTATATGACATCAGTATACTTGTGTTCATATATGTGTGTGGGTGTATGGTTGTGTAATTGTTTTCATGTATATGGGTGTATACATGTTTTCTGCATGTGATGCCTGAGTATCGTGTATGTGTGTGTACTTGTGTTTGGGTTGTGCATGTGTATGGTTGTGTATTGTTTTAATCTATGTATGGTTGTTTTGTATATGTTCAAATTGTGTGTATATGTGTTGTATGCATTTATATATACAAACACACACACACATATATATATATATATATATAT